CCAGCAGTTTTTAAATTGTTTTTGTTTTAGGGGCTTCACTCTGATGGTCTGTTAGCTATTGGGTTGGAGATAGAAACACATGTAAAGGACAGGGCGGGATACTGAAGAACTGTTTAAAGAATAAGACTTAGGAACATAAGAACCTTCTACACAGTTGATTTCACTGGTGTCACATTCAACAGCATCCTGTAAAAAAACAACATCAAGTTATGATTGAGTTACTTCCCTTTTTGTTTACTTTCTTGGAATCTGACAAGCATTTTGATCTTGTCCAAGGACTGTAATTGATTGTGAAATGCTTTTTTCCTTCCCTTCTTAGATGTACTTTTTAAATGCACTTTCTTAGAGCACATAATGTTACACGTTTTCCCCATTGACTGAAGCCTGTTTATAAACATATTTTTGGTTGTTTGGATTTGCATAGGTATAACTTTAAAAAGAAAAAGAATCTGCTGATGATATTTTCCTCCTGATAACCGAAAATAAAGATGCATACACTTTTCTTCCTAGTCTTGCAGTCCATAAAGTCAGTAAAGTTGCTTTTTAAACAAACAAACAAAAAAACTTGATTAAGGCACATTTGTTTTCCATCTCTACTAAAAAATGAATAAGATGGGACACAGTGTCTTCCTGGGCATACATAGCTACCAAAATGAAATTGGTTTGATTAAAATCACTTGAACCAGGGCATGAGGGAACATAATGCAGCAGCTGTCTTGCTTTAGCTAAGCAAGCCCGAGAACAGCCAATGCCTGCACCTGGCAGAGCTATTTGGAAAGTCTTCTTATGCCTCCTTGAATTTCACAATGGAAGAAGGTATGGGTACAAAAGTTCAAAAGAAGTTGAGAATGAGTAAAGTGAGAAACTAGTTGAGAACAGAAAATGAATCAATCAAGAACACAGTTTTGTTCTGCAAAATTCCAGAAGAGTTGTGGTATTAAGGGACTTGGGCTAGGTGTATCTCATCCAAAGCATTAAGGCTAACAAATAGTTAGATTAGAAAGTCCTGACACCTGAACATCTCTCCCTATGAGCCTGATAGAATTTTATAGACGTCTAGAAAATATCAGACAGCTATGTTCACTCACAGCTGACATTTATCCCATTTAAGGTTATTTCCAGAATGAAACCATGCAACCATTTCCAGTCAGATCAAATTGTCTAGATATCAAGATAAAATAAGTTGCTTCTTTGTTGAAATGATTCCAGGCAGCATCAGCATGTCCACTTCTACGACTTTTAGTCCACATTGGTTCTGTGTTCCAGATGCACAAAATGAAATCCCAAATTCAAAATGTATTGAAAACATTCTTAGGAATGTTTGATGAAAACTGTAGGCACAAATGCTATAGTGTTAGATCTAATTCACAGTCATGGTTCTATGAGAAAGGTATGTGCAGAGACAGAAACAACATTTACAGTCAATAAAGAAAGGGAGAAATAGGAAATGCATACATGCTCAGTATCAGAGCTTGTGATCTCATCGCTATACACAGAGGGCTCCTGCCTAAGCAGACATACCCATCCACATCAGTTGAGCTGTTGCCTATTCATGAAGCATGAAGAACTGTAGACATGGTAAGGATTTCCATGTGAGCCAGAACTCCAGGAATCCATGAATTCTGTCTTGTATGGAGATCTTCCACATACCAAAAAACACCAGCCTAACATATTGCTTTAACTTCTTTTTTACTCCCTAAGTAGCTCTGTAGTTTAAATTATACCATTTTTAAAAACGTCTCTGCTACTTCACTACAGTTTAAAACATGCACAGCAATCCTAGGTGTGGTTTCTTGAAAGCAGATTCCTCTTGAGTTTCATGGGTCTTACTCTCAAGTAAATGGATATCGGATTGTAGTGTGTTCCAGATGCACAAAATGAAATCCCAAATTCAAAATGTATTGAAAACATTCTTAGGAATGTTTGATGAAAACTGTAGGCACAAATGCTATAGTGTTAGATCTAATTCACAGTCATGGTTCTATGAGAAAGGTATGTGCAGAGACAGAAACAACATTTACAGTCAATAAAGAAAGGGAGAAATAGGAAATGCATACATGCTCAGTATCAGAGCTTGTGATCTCATCGCTATACACAGAGGGCTCCTGCCTAAGCAGACATACCCGTCCACATCAGTTGAGCTGTTGCCTATTCATAATAATATAATAATAATATAATTTATTGTCATTGTAAGTATATACACAGTATATCATACAACGAAATTCATGAATCATGAAGAACTGTAGACATGGTAAGGATCTCCATGTGAGCCAGAACTCCAGGAATCCGTGAAATCTATCTTGTATGGAGATCTTCCACATACCGAAAAACACCAAACTATTACTTCTGTGTGAGCTAAACAGCATTGGAGGTTAGTGTACTCCCAGCCTAACATATTGCTTTAACTTCTTTTTTTACTCCCTAAGTAGCGCTGTAGTTTAAATCACTGGTTCTTAACCTTGGGTTACTCAGGAGTTTTGGACTGCAACTCCCAGAAGCCTTCACCACCAACTGTGCTGGCTGGAATTTCTGGGAGTTGCAGTTCAAAAACATCCGAGTAACAAAGGTTAAGAACCTAGGGTTTAAATTATACCATTTTTAAAAACTTCTCCGCTACTTCACTACAGTTTAAAACATGCACAGCAATCCTAGGTGTGGTTTCTTGAAAGCAGATTCCTCTTGAGTTTCATGGGTCTTACTCTCAAGTAGGTGGATATCGGATTGTAGTCACAAGGTATGCATTGTAATTGATTTTATAGCTTTTCACATAATAGCTGGAATTCAGTAGTAAGTCACAACTAGATTAGGCCCATTGAATTGGTGGTGATTTGGTGAGTCAACGCCTATGTAAATTCCATTGATTCAGTGAGGAATTCTTACTGAAATTCTGCCATTAATTAAAGAGTGTTACTTTGAATTCAACAAGAATAGTTCAATGCTTTGATTGCATCTCTTTGCCTTCTCCAGAAAAAGGAGGGACGTTTTATTGTTATTTTATAGTAGGCCTATTCCTTAGCAAAATACTCAGTCTGACTGAATTTACAGTTTATTATTTTTGCTTAGCGAGACCAGTACGGTACCCTAGTGTGCATTAACTAAATTTGAGCTGTAACAAGTAAGGGATATTTGTCATCATTAGTACTGTGACTTTTACAGGATATATATCCCTTAGCTTTATCCCCGGCTCCATTTTCCACAAATCTGGGTACCACTTCTTCCTTCTTTGCATTCCCACAGCCTCACAGGAATCACAAAAGAGCTCCTCCCCAAGGCTACCCAGGTTTCCTAAGTAACATATAATATATTCTCGAAAGGCTTTCACAGCCTATAATAGTCTTAACTTAGACTATAATAGTCTTAACTTAGAGAGAAATTTTATTACAGCTGCCTTCTAGACTGTTCCCATGATGGGTCGTTACTGGCACACACAAAAAATTTCCGGAATTGTTTATGCATTTTCTGGTAAAGTATTCAACAAACGTCTCGCTAATGTCACGGAAAGCTAATGTTTCATGTCTCTCTGAGGGCAACCTCTTTTCATAAAATACTGCTATAATAGCATATAAGTAAATCTTTTCCTCCATTAAAACACGGAGTGTGGGTGTAAGTGACTGGGCTTGAACAAAAGCCCTGTAAACACTTTGGCGTGTGCATCCTTCCCCCCCCCTCCCCAAGTGCAGACTTTAGAAGAGAGGAGATGAGGGCCTTAACAACTTTCTCCACCTGCGAGATTTTTCAGAGTTCACACTCATCACTGAACGCACGGGAGAGGAATGGCTGCCAATGGCCGACAGTGGCTTTAAAATGGCTGCCATCCCTTGACAGAGTTGTTACAACTCAATATACCAAGCAGGTGGAAGTGGTTTCTCAGTTTATGCAGCCATGAGTTCAGCTCCTCAGTGGTTGTAAAGGAGAGGCAGTGATGTCTCACTTTAGAGCATTGATCAGCGTGTTGGACCAGAACTTCAGGAGGCCTGAGTTCAAATCCCTGCTCACTGGGTCACCTAACTCACAGGATTGAGGACAGACTTGTGGGGAGGAGATCATATATTAACTGGAAATAAAATGGATATAAATGCTACAGGTCATTAAATGAAATAAATTCCAGCTACTCTGTGCTGTTCTACACATGGAGCAAAATGGAGTGCAATTGAGTGAAGATAAAAGTGTGTGGGTCTCCAGTCCAACTAATGTACAACTAGGACAACTTTTGATTACACATCTGTTGTGGCACATGGGGAAAAGAGACTACTTTGGCTTACAGTTGGTTCACTCAGTACTACTTTATCGTAAGCATGTGCCTATATGCTTAAAATACATTGTTGAGTGCCTTTCTGTAGAAGCCTAACACTCCTTTTCTTGTAATGCTTGCTGCCCATAATGGGAAAACATCTTCACTACTTATTTGCTGTACTGCAGTCAAAGTCAGAGACAACCCGAATCTCACACAGAATCTAGTACTGGTTTCTAGGGCAGGAGAGATCAAATATTAGACCTCTTCCGTGTGACAACCTTTTAGAGTTTGAAGACTGTTACTCTGTCCCTCTTACTTTCTTAAAACTACCCCGCAACAGCAGTACAGAATTGTTTTTTGTTTATGTGAGATTTGAATAACATTTTATATCTTTTAACGTTCAAATGATGACTTGACCTTTAAAAAAAGAACAATAAGTGAAGTTTCTCATTATAGTATCTCATTATTAGGGGGTTGGGCCATGTTTAGCATTAATGGATTTTAAAAGTAGCATTTCACTAATGGATTATTAATAAGCAACATAATATGCTGCTCTTTTAATTTTTAAAATAAGAGCAAATTACTACTAGAAGTAAAACAAACATTAGTGCATTAATGTTAAAAGCAGTGTTTCCCGGTGTCAGTGAAACCTAGATAAATCAACCTGAGCACTAAATATTAGATTTATTACACAAGCTTGTGTGATTGACAAGGTTTGGTAAATTAATGTATTTCCCACATCTTTTGTTAACCTCCTTGACCACAGGTTCTGATCAAAGTGCTAGACAACAACGACAACGGTCCCGAATTCTCCCACCCAAGTTATGAGGTCACTATTTCAGAGGACATCCTCCCAGATACTGAGATTCTTCAAGTTGAAGCCATAGACAGAGATGAAAAACATAAACTCAGCTACATTGTCCACAGCAGCATTGACTCCATCAGCATGAGGAAGTTCAGAATGGATCCCAACACAGGTGTGCTGTACATCGCTGAGCGCTTAGACCACGAAGCTCAAGATAAGCACATTCTAAATGTAATGGTAAGAAGCAACGATTAACTCTGTGCTCAGACACAATGGCCAACTTATAGCAACCGCTACAGACTGCCAGTTGCTGCCTTTAACAGATAACAGGTACATCGTATAGACTTCTGATAAGCAAGAAGTCTTTAAAATTAGGCAAGGAAGCAGTAATTAATTCTACGCTCTATGCCGCAGTGCATTTATTCATTCATTGTTGAGGTTTAATAAGGCTTATAGTATGAAAGTGTTTTTATCTTTCAAAATGGTTTTGCCATCTTGAGGGCAAACCTGGAGAAAAACATTATAATCTCCTGGTGCTGATGCCTGTTATCAGAGGTAGCTTTCTTTGAGAGTTTCTCAGAAGTCTTGACGTTCTTTTGGAAACTGTTAAGGGGGCGATTATTGCTTTGGTTTCTTTGCCCAGCTCTTGAAAGAAAATTACCCTGATTTATCGCATCCTTCAGTAAGATTCTTTCAAGGTCGGAAATTCTGGTTTATGTGCCTAAATTGCAGAGCAGTTCTTCTGTGAAGTAGGTGCTGAATATTACGGTGCCAGAATTATTTTTAAGTATTTTTAAAGAACTTTTTCATGTTGAGTCTCACAGTCCCAAACTTCCCGAGAAAATTTTATCAAAACTAGGGTTACTAGGTTTACCAAATTTTATTCTGGTGTGGTGTAGCAGGTTCATTTTGCCTCACGTCCCACATTTGAACTGCCTTTCAGTCAGGCTGGGTGGCAGCGTTGGCTTCCATGAGCTGCTGAAGAAACTTTACCTCAACTAATACTTTCTCTGGATTTGACCCATCCTTCTCTCCTCGAGGTGCATTTCACCTTGTGGAAAATGGCCCAGAACTGCCTACCTTTTTAGATTTCCCAGGGTGCTGCTGTACATTGTTTTCATATTAGCCACTATGCCATGTCACAAGGATGCAACAGAGCATTTTGGGACATGGAAAATCATGCCTTTGTTGTGATTTAACACAGATAGTGGTTCTGTTGCTCACCTTGAATATATCTGGTAGAGGAAGGACTGTTAATATCGGGGAGTATATTATCTGCTTCTCTCTCTCCCTTTCTCTTTCTGCGAATTAATCAGGTTTTATTTGTACTGGAGTACATCAATAGCCTTTAAAGAAAAATAAACAAAGAACTTAAAAACCAGAGCAAAGAGCACATATGTGTTTGAACAATGTTAAAAAGTCTAAATCAGAAGAGTGGTGTCAGGTTTTTATTGTACCACTCCAGGAACAATCTGCTAGTAAATAGCATTACACAAATGTTTTTAAATCAGCCAGCCAATTAGTAAAAGTGCAGTAAATGAGAACTCCAAAATCCAAGGAGAATTTCTGATGGGAAAGTTTCTTAGTCATGTTTTACTGAAAACTCATTTGCATTGCTTCAAGACTTCCTTAAATATTTCGCCTAAGCAGAAATTTACAATTCCCAACCTCCCATTTTAACTCAAGCTTGATGTTGGTGACAGTGCTGTAATCTTTTTCCCCATGTGCCTTAATTGCTTTATGCTATACATTATTCTGTAAGATGCTGTTGTTTTCCCCTCCCTCCAGGTTCGTGACCAAGAGTTCCCTTATCGCCGGAATTTGGCCAGGGTAATTGTCAATGTGGAAGATTCTAATGATCACAGTCCCTACTTCACCAGTCCATTGTATGAAGCCTCTGTGTTTGAATCAGCTGCCGTTGGATCTGCTGTTTTGCAGGTCACTGCCTTGGACAAAGACAAAGGAGAAAATGCTGAGCTGATCTACACAATAGAAGCAGGTTAGCCAGCAGTCTAACAAGCTGTAAAATTGCATGTAAGGAGTCACAGAACTTCATTTAATTCTTTGGTTATGTTACTACCAGACCAGATGGGCAGGATATAAATCAAATCAAATCAAATCAAATCAATCAATCAATCAATAAAGGGGGAAATGGTCAGATCCCATAGCTTGCTTCTCTCTCTCTCTCTCTCTCTCTCTCTCTCTCCCTCCATATGTACAGGGGTGCCTCGCTTAACGAGGATAATCCATTCCAGCGAAATCGCTGTAAGCGAAATACTCGTTAAGCGAATTAAAAAATCCCATTGAAACTCATTGAAAACCCTTCAACGCGTTTCAATGGGCTGAAAACTCACCGTCCAGCGAAGATCCTCCATGGGGTGGCCATTTTCGGTGCCCCTAAAGCGAGGAACCTGTCCTAGAAAACAGCGGGGGCCATTTTTGTACACCCGGAGGCCATTTTGAAACCCGACAGTCAGCTCTTCCCAATTAAACCATCGTTTTGCGATCACAAAAAAGTAATCGTCAAGCAATTTCCTCATTACGTGAGGCAATCGTTAAGCGAGGCACCACTGTATGTACATACATATATACATACACGCACAAACACAGAAAGAGAGAGCATATTAACTGCTGTATAGCTGGGTAGTTTAGGTATCTGGCTGTGGAGCAAGAAGTTGTGAGGTAGTTTAGGTATCTGGCTGTGGAGCAAGATGTTGTTCCTCCTTGACAGGGGCCTGGACTCAATGATCCATAGAGTCCTTTCCAGCTCTGCAGTTATGAGATGATGATGACTATTATTAGCAGTATTATAATGTATACATATATATGTGTGTAACAAAAAATATATCATTGGTATTACTATAGTGGTGATCTTAAAGAAAGTTACTAAGATGTCAACCCAGTGGGACTGATAACTAACTATACATAGGATGAAAGAGTAAAGTCCTGTAAGTCAATTCTAACATGACATGACAGTGTTTGCACTACCATTCACACTTGTTGAAAAACAGTCCTGGGATTTTCCTTCTGGGATTTTTCTCTTGCTTGGTGTCACTTTGCGAACGATAGTGAGCAGAAGAGGGTATCCAGAGGTCACCTTGACTGCTGCCATGCTTGTTGTCAACATTCAGGCTGCCCCATGACTATGTGAAGCTTGGCATCCTGGGAACAAGGGCCCAATATTATATGCCGCAATCTTGAGGCATTTCCTGGTGTTTTAAATCCCCATGCTTGTTGTCAACATTCAGGCTGCCCTGTGACTATGTGAAGCTTGGCATCCTCCTTCTTCCTGGGAACAAGGGCCCAATATTATGTGCCGCAATCTTGAGGGATTTCCTGGTGTTTTAAATCCTAGATACAGAAGCAGAATATCCCACATTCATAAACCGGAGTTGTGTTGTTTTTAAGAACCGATTCACATGTGGATATGTCCTGTTGTACGTAATCTGGAAAGGACCGCGTATTGGCATGTGTGTATTCAGAGATCTGCATCATGACAACAAACATACAAATAAGCAGGAATGGAGCATGCATAGCCTTTTTGTCCTACCACAAATTAACCTATGTGTGGATTTCCCTAGTGTGGTATTAGAAAGATTAGATCTGCTTTTCTTTCTGCCCATTCCTGCCCCTGTACTTTCCCATTTAATAGAGTATCAGGGACCTGGGGACCTTGAGAAAAATGAGGTCTGCAGCTTGCATGCAGCACCCCATAAGCATGACCTAGCTGTCGTCCAGATTCATCAGCTCAACAGATTTAGCTGCCTTTGTCAGAGTTTAGTAGAGGCAATAAACAAACTGTGAATGGGCTGCTATAGGTGTTCCGTAGGAGGTCTGGAACCAGAGCTGCTGATGAACAAGGGAGATGGTTCCAGCAGAGAACTCGGGGGACTGCTTAATCCATCCTTCATTTTTACCTTGCAGTTAATTTCCCTAGCTCTGGAGAGAGGCTTAGAGGAGGAACCTGGCGGACGTAAAGTGCAAGTATTCCTCTCCATATCCACTGCAGAGCTTGTCATTGTTTTGCTGCTTTGCTGTTGAGACTACAGTCCACTGCTGGCCATTCAGTTCAGCTGTACAGTGAACAGATGTACTGATGCAATGACAAAAAATTGAACCTATAACGGGTGGAACCACTCCAGTAATAAAGAAGGAGGGAGCGATGGGACAATGGCCAGAAGTAGGATAGCATGAAGCTTCCGTCCAGAGCCATTGTGGAAAAGCTTGAAACCTTTTAATGAGACGTTATATCTCTGTGAGTGATTCTAGCTTCTTTTGCATCTTCCTCTCTGCATGCAGTTGGAGGCTTGAAGCTCCACATTCCTGCTGTTTCATTATCCACTGATGTTCCTGGATACAGCACAATACAGCTTTTTGAGGCTGTCATTCACTGATCTACAAAGAATTTGTAGCAAAGATGCTAATTCTCACTGATAGGTTCAGCTTATAAACATGGTCCTTTGCTTCCTAAGGAATTCAAATAATGAAAACCTGCTTCTGAAGAAGGAAAACCAAAATCCTCACACTTTAATAATATCCGACTAGGGGAAAGAGAGTTGTCTTTCATAAATGCATCCCTGTTTTGATTAACTCATGTTCTGTTCTGCAAATACCATCCATGCAGTAGAGCTACATACAGACCAAATAACTGATTAGGCCACACTCTTCTGCTGTCAAATAGGTAGCTTATCGCCAAGAGAAGCCCCCCAAAAATATTGTGGGGCAACATGACTCCCATCCCAGTCCACAAATAATCTCTGATCCATCATCCATGATTCAGCTCTTTGTTAATATGTATATTAACCGTATACAGTCTGGTGCTCTCCTAGTGTGTCCGTCAGACTGCTCACCTTCCGTGAATATTGGATGATGGGAGTAAAACACATCTGCAATGTGCAAAGTTGGAAAAAAATTCAGAGTTCCCAAGGGTCCCCAGAAGCCCCCCCCCTTTAAAAAGCAAGGGCGTTTTTAAAATGATAATGGAGTATTTTCTGCTCTGAGGAACTTCCAGGAGCAATAGTGGGTCTGCCTACCCTCCAAAAATCAGAAAAACAAAACTAGATGTGCCCATCCTAGCTCTTCTTGCTCACTTTTTAAAAATGACAATTTGAGGGCTCCTTGCAGCCTGTGAAGTGAGCTGTAGTTACAAATTTGGCTCCCAAGTCCCCTGAGCAGCCATTCTTGCCCTGGTCAATCCCTCACAGGAATTCATTCACATCTTCATTAAACAATCATTGGTCTTGATTGCTCTCCATCCGCCGTGATCAATGAACACATCTTCCATGAATTATCTGTTTCATGAGGTCTTTGTGCCCTTTGATTTTTTTGTCCACTACTGGCTTCATACACCCCTTTCAGCTCTGGATCATTAACCCTAAATTGCTCAATATCTTCTTTATTGCAGTCCCAAGATAGTTTTTCATGCATTGAACAATTGATCACTTAGCATTCTATTACTTATTTCATACCTGTCCCCTTGTCCTAAACCTGTTCACTGTAAAGTCCAGTGGCTGCATAAAATCACACCCTTGCACTACAGTCCTGTATATGTCTATTTGAATGAAAGCTGCAGCGAGTTTAGTGCTGTTTGTTGTAGTAGTTGTTGTATGCTGTCAAGTTGCCTCTGATTTATGGCTGCTGTACCAAGAATGACCCTCAAAATGTCCTGTTATTAAAAGCCCTGCTCAGCTCCTGCAAGCCTCCTTATCCCAAACACATTTACTCCTAGGTAAATGTGTTTGGGATAAGGTGGCACTTATGTACACGCTTATGTGAGATTAAATCCTGCTCAGCGCAATGGGACCTGCTTCTAAATAGGAGTTTGCACATAAACTGACATCATTGATCTCCTTACATTAGTTGTTTGAAGCTAGGCAACACTACACAAAGACTGTAGCACCAGCTTTGAAGTATTTCTATGCAACAGATGTAAGCTTTCATTACTTCTTTAGCTAAGACTTGTAGGGTTCCTAGCATAATCATCAGCACTCTATTGAAATCTTAATTCTCTGTGTTTCCTTAGGAAATTTAAAGAGTTGACTTGGTTTAAAAATCTGTTTACAATTATATTTCAAGGCTAGCTGTGTCCCATGGTTGTTGTGGGTTTTTCGGGCTGTTTGGCCATGTTCTGGAGGTTTTTCTTCCTCATGTTTTGCCAGTCTCTGTGGCCGGCATCTTCAAAGGACAGGAGCTAGAATTCTGCCTGTGTTCTGATGTAGTGTGTGGGTTGTTGAGTATTTGTAGCTGTGGGATCAGCTACAGTATTTGTCTTTTTCAGGAGATTGGGTGATTATGGTGATCAGGGTGTTTTTTGTTATGGGTGTATTATTGTGATGGGGGGGGAGATGATCTGTCATTGTGATTGCCGCCCAGCGTAGACTTCTCTGTCTAGATGGGTGGGGTCTAAATCGAATTAATAAATAAATAAATAAATTGTTGGATGTCCTTAGCTACTCTTTCGTGTGCAGTGATCACCGGTCCTTGTGGCTGGGGAGTGTTGGTTGACCTTTTTGCAGGCTGTATTTTTCAGTGAGGGAGCCAGGCTTTGTGATCAGCCCATAACAACCATCGGATCCTGGCTGTGAAAGCCTTTGAGAACACATTAGCTGTGTTCATCTGTCACGGCAGAAACAAAATAAAGAATTATTGCACCTTGAAGGCTAAGAAGCTTTATTCGGCTTAAATAAAACTTTATAGAAGGCAGAGCACTCCATCAGACGCATTTGTTAGCCCTTCAGTTTTCTCACTTGTTAAAAATCTGCATTATATAACAACAACAACAGTTGTGTGCCATCAAGTAAATGTTGACTTATGGCAAGCTTTTCGTGGGTTGTCTAGATAGTGAAGACTCAGAGGTGGTTTACCATTCCTTTCTTCTGTGATAGTGCAGCATACCAAAGGCTACACAGGTTGGCTCTTTTCCCAGGATACATAGTGGAGAATCGAACTCCCATCTTCTGACTTCACAGCCAGATACCTAAACCACTGAGCTATCCAGCCGTCAATCGCCAGTTGGATTTATACACTTGAAGATAAATTTTAATCTGTGTTTATTTGTATTGATGCCTTCCTCCAGAAAGATTAGAATGCCTTATATGGAAGACCCATGTATCACATCTGATACTAATGGGCCAAGACCTGTGTTATCTGTGCATGAGTAAGGACTTCAGTAAGTGCTATTTGAAGATTGCCTGGACTCCCACATTGCCATTTGATTTTTGCATTCTCATACTTCACTTCCAGTAAATATCCCTATTTCCTTTTTTTCAGGAAACACTGGGAACACATTCAAGATTGAACCAGTTCTAGGCATCATTACAGTGCAGAAGGAACCGGACCTAACCACCATGAGCCAGTTTGTTCTGTCAGTCAAAGTAACCGACCAAGGTTCTCCGCCACTGTCATCCACTGCCATTGTCCGCATATCTGTGACAATGTCGGATAACTCTCACCCAAAATTCATGCACAAAGAATGGCAGGCTGATGTGAACGAAAATGTGGATTTTGGAACCTCAGTTGTCATGGTGTCGGCAATCAGCCAGTCTACATTAGTGTATGAAGTTAAGGATGGCAACACCGATGGAGCCTTTGCTATCAACCCCTACTCAGGAGTCATTACTAGCCAAAAGCCTCTTGACTATGAACGCATGTCCTCTTACCAGCTCACTGTGCAGGCCACAAACATGGCAGGGATGGCATCAAATGCCACTGTGAACATCCAGATTGTAGATGAAAATGACAACCCACCAATATTTCTCTTCTCAAAATACTTGGGCAGGATCAGCGAGGCCGCTCCTTTGAACAGTATAGTCCGGAGCTTGGAGAACAACCCCTTGGTGATTCGAGCCACAGATGCTGACAGTAATCAAAACGCTTTACTTGTCTACCAGATTGTAGAATCCACGGCTAAAAATTATTTCACAGTAGACTCCAGTACAGGTGCAATTAGGACCATTGCTGATTTAGATCATGAAACTATTGCACATTTCCATTTTCACGTCCATGTTCGCGATAGCGGCAATCCACAGCTTACAGCAGAAAGTCCAGTTGAAGTCACTATTGATGTGACCGATGTCAATGATAATCCTCCGGTTTTTAGTCAGACCATGTTTGAGACTGTTTTGCTTCTGCCGACGTACGTTGGAGTAGAAGTTCTTAAAGTCAAAGCTGCAGATCCGGATTCAGAAGTCCCCACCGAAATGACCTACAGCCTTATTGAAGGAAACACAGAGTATTTTCTCATCGATCCCATTTCAGGGGTTCTGACTATAAAAAACAATAGCCTTTCCAAAGACCATTACATGCTCATAGCAAAAGTCTCAGACGGGAAATTTTACAGCACTGCCATAGTGACCATCATGGTCAAAGAAGCCATGGACAGTGGTCTTCACTTCACTCAAAGCCTTTATTCCACATCAATCTCAGAAAATAGCACCAATATCACAAAGGTAGCGGTGGTCAGTGCTGTTGGAAACCGCCTTAATGAGCCCTTGAAATACACCATATTGAACCCAGGGAACAAATTTAAGATCAAGCCTACTTTGGGTGTCATTCAAACCACTGGAATTCCATTTGACAGAGAAGAACAGGAATTGTATGAGCTAATTGTTGAAGCTAGCCGTGAACAAGATCATCTTCGTGTCGCCCGGGTAGTTGTCAGAGTTCACATTGAAGACATCAATGACAATGCTCCAGTGTTTGTCGGACTTCCATACTACGCCGCTGTACAAGTCGAGGCTGATCCTGGCACCCTGATTTACCGAGTGACAGCCATTGATAAAGATAAGGGTGCCAATGGTGACGTTGCTTACCTGCTAAAGGAGGATTATGGGCACTTTGAAATTGACAGGCACACAGGCAGTGTCACGTTAAAAGCAGCTTTTAATTCTGACTTATCTAACATAGAGTATTTAATTATTGTCATTGCTAAAGATGGAGGCAATCCATCACTGTCGGCATCTGTAGAATTGCCTATAACAATAGTTAATAAAGCGATGCCTGTTTTCGACAAGCCTTTCTATACAGCCTCTGTAAACGAAGACGTAGAAATGCACACCCCGGTTCTGAGCATCAATGCTACCAGTCCCGAAGGTCAGGGTATCATTTACATAATTGTAGATGGAGATCCCTATAATCAGTTCAACATTGATTTTGACACAGGAGTCCTCAGTGTCATCAGTCCATTAGATTATGAAGTAAACTCCATTTTCAAGCTGACGGTAAGAGCCAGCGATGCCCTCACCGGTGCCCGAGCAGAAGTCACAGTGGACTTAATAATTAATGATGTCAACGACAACGCTCCAGTTTTCGAACGTTTTTCATATAACGCCACTTTGTCTGAAGCCTCTTTGATTGGCACTCCTGTCTTGCAGGTTGTTGCAATGGATGCAGATTCTGAGAATAACAAAATCATTCAGTACCAGATAGTCCAGGACACCTTCAACAGCACAGATTACTTCCACATTGATGGCAGCAGTGGTCTGATCCTTACCGCCCGCTTGCTGGACCATGAGTTGATGCAACAATGTACTTTAAAAGTCAGAGCAACTGATAATGGATTCCCACCTCTGAGCAGTGAAGTCCTGGTTAGCATCTCTGTGACGGATATGAACGACAACCCTCCTGTTTTTAACCAATTGATATATGAATCGTATGTCAGTGAGTTAGCTCCTCGGGGTCACTTTGTGACTTGTGTCCAAGCCTCTGATGCAGACAGTTCTGATTTTGATCGGCTGGAGTATAGTATCTTATCTGGAAATGACCGCACAAATTTTGTAATGGACAGTAAGAGTGGCATCATTACTCTTTCGAACCATCGGAAGCAGCGGATGGAGTCAATGTACAGTCTGAATGTCTCCGTGTCGGATGGTTTGTTCACAAGCACAGCCCAGGTACATATCCGGATCCTTGGAGCTAACTTATACAGTCCTGTGTTCTCTCAGAGTATTTATGTGGCAGAAGTTAGAGAAAATGCTGCCCCAGGAACTAAAATAATCCATGTAAAAGCAACAGATGGAGATTCAGGCATATACGGACAAATCAGCTATTCAATTATAAACGATTTTGCCAAGGATCGCTTTTTAGTTGACAACAACGGGCAGATCATCACGACGGAGAAGCTTGACCGAGAGATCCCTTCAGAAGGTGACATCACTATATTTTTGAGAGCTCTCGACGGAGGGGGGAGAACCACTTTCTGCACTGTCAGAATCATAGTGGTGGATGAGAATGACAACGCTCCACAGTTCATGACAGTGGAATACCGGGCAAGCGTCAAAGCTGATGTTGGGAAAGGACATCTGGTCACCCAGGTACAAGCTGTTGATCCAGATGATGGTGCAAATGCAAGAGTTGCTTACTCCCTGTACAGCGAGGCCTCCGTTTCTGTTGCCGATCTCCTGGAAATTGACCCCGATAATGGATGGATGGTAACCAAGGGTAACTTCAATCAGCTGAAAAACACAGTGCTCTCTTTCTTTGTCAAAGCAGTTGATGGGGGCATTCCCGTAAAACATTCCCTTATTCCTGTCTATATTCATGTTTTACCACCAGAAACCATCTTGCCTTCATTTTCTCAACCCCAATATTCCTTTACAATATCAGAAGATACACTGATAGGTAGCACTATTGATGTTCTTCATGTTTTGCCTAGTCAAGGAGCCACCTATAGCACCGTTAATGGCGAACTAACAGAAAACAACAAGGATGGAGTTTTTATTATAGAGCATGACACAGGCCTTATAAAACTTGATAAGAGGCTTGACCACGAGACAACTCCTGCCTTTCACTTCAAAGTTGCTGCAACCGTACAGTTAGACAAGGTGGATGTCGTGTTAACAGTGGACGTGGACATCAAAGTTTTAGATATTAATGACAACAAACCCGTGTTTGAGGCAGCCAGCTATGAAGCCATCATAATGGAAGGCATGCCGATAGGAACCAAACTTGTCCAGGTTAAAGCGACTGATGCAGACTGGGGGGCAAATGGTCAAGTCACGTACTCTCTTTTACCAGAGGCGGAAGCTGACAAAATCACAGAGATGTTCACCATTGACAGCAACAGTGGTTGGATCAGCACACTGAAAGACTTGGATCATGAGAAGAACCCCACTTTCACCTTTACCGTGGTGTCTTCTGATCTGGGAGAAAGCTTGTCCCTTTCATCAAGTGTCATGGTTTCTGTCACAGTGACAGACATTAATGACAATGCTCCTGTATTTGAGAATGAGATTTACAGGGGTTCTGTGAAAGAGAGTGATTCCCCGGGTGAAGTTGTGGCTGTCCTCAGCACATGGGATGAGGATACATCTGATGTCAATCGCCAAGTCAGCTACCATATTACAGGTAAGTGTTTCCTGGGAATGAAAATCTAAAGGATGTGAGGACTCACAATTATTGGTAGAGAATTGACTTTGTGTGCTTAAGCTCCCATAGAATCATGAAACTGGAATTGGTCTGTAAGGCCATTGAATCCAACCCCCCCCCCTGCTCAATGCAGGAACACAGATCAAAGGATATCTGCTTGGTGGTCATCTAAATGTCTCTTGAATGCTTCCAGTGTTGGAGCACTCACTGCCTCTCAAGGTAATTGGTTCCATTGTTGTACTGCTCTAAAAGTTGGGATGTTTTTCCTGGTATTCAACGGAAATTTGGCATCCTGTAACTTGTTAAGGCAAGAGGAGAAGGGGATGACAGAGGAAGAGATGGTTGGACAGTGTCATCAAAGCTACCAACATGAATTTGACACAACTCTGGGAGGCAGTGGAAGACAGGAGGGCATGGCGTGCTCTGGTCCATGGGGTCACGAACAGTCGGACACGACTTAACGACTAAACAACAACTTGAGCCCATTGTTGTGTGTCCTGCACTCAGAGAAGATTGAGAACAGATCCTGCCCCTCCTCTCTATGACAGCCTTTCAAGTATTTGAGAAGTGGCATGCTATTTCCCCTCAGTCTTCTTTTCTCAAGACAATACTCCCCATGTTCAGTCCTTGACTCTCCAGTTTTTAAAAAGGGCCATGTGGCAGAGGAGGCAGAGAGTTTCCCCTGAGATCCTGGAGATCCGCTGATGATCAGAGAAGACAATTCTGAGCAAAAAAACTTACGGTCTGCACTAAATAAAACAGTATCATTATGTTCATCTTGAGCCTGATTTGATTCCGGTTACAAGGAGCAACTAGATTAAATCTAGGCGGCACTATGCAGAATTTGTGTTTCCCTGTTATAGATTTAGGGAAGTGAAACAGGGCTGAGTGGCAAGCAATCCCACTGGTGAATAACGGAACGGAGGGACTGAGCAAAAGGTAGGTAACAACAGTCTGAGAATAGCTTGACTTTAACCAACATATAGCTCATATCAGAGCTTAGAAAATTGAGGTGCTTGAGCTATAACTTCCAGAATCCTTCAACCAGCTAGACATAATCTAGCTCAGCATCAGAGGCCAGGATGAAACCATTCTGAGACTAAAGTTGAAACCATTTTGTGTGATCATCTCCTGGAACATTCCAGCCCTAAGCAGTGGTGTTTGCCACAGAATAGGCCAGTCTTTCTGTCTAGTGGAAGGCTACTCATACTGCCACTCAGCATGAAGGGTTTCTGTCCAGCTTTCAAAGGGCTCAAGATTCCTACCGTTTTACAACACCACGGTGTGTAAATCCATGAAGTCTTATTTTGATACAAGACATTTTTCAGTTGTTTGGCCAAGCACTTAGCAAATACTGCAGCGTGATTGGAACAAAGAGAGAAATGTTTGATTGGGCTTTTTCAGTTTAGCCAACTCAACCTTTACAGTTTGCTGCCATGTAACAAACTATAAACTGTGTTGATAGATGTATCAGTGTGGTTAGAATCGTAGCATTGTGTATGCTAGAGAAAATGAACAATATTTGTTTTTCAGGACTGGATGAAGGAAGGGATTGATGGAAGTGAATTTTATTTTATTTAATTGCAAGCATTGTTTCCATTTCTAGATGGCAAGGCTCATTTGAAACATCCATTTCTAAAGGCATGAGTATTGCTGGAAAAGAATTGACAGTGTGAACCGAATAAACTGCCTAGATGAACAAATACATAGTGGTAATAGGGTTGTACGCTGCATTGACCTTTAGAAAAATTGAGGGTACAAATAATTGTTGCACGAGCCAACTCAAGATATTTCCTTTCCTCCCCACTTTCTAGTGTAGGGCTGTTTTTCATATTTTCAATTTAACGCAGGCATGAACACTTCGTGACCCACCAGACTGAATGCTCCCCAATAGCCATATATTGCAGCCGGCCCAGTGCTTGTGGGTTTTGTTTTAAGTCCAAAATATGAGGAAATAAATAATAGAATTTCATTGAGTGTCCTATTCCTGGGCTGTCCAAAATCAGGATGGGAAGATGGGTGTTTTGTGATCTCTTGCCTTTGAATATTTTAAGTCTCACTTTTTTTCTTCCCTTAAATCTAAAGAAATCTGAAAACATTGGTAGTGTTTTCTTTAAAATTCTGCTCAAGACCCAGGGTTCAATCCCAGGTAGCCAGCTCAAGGTTCACAGTGTTGGTAAAGTGAGTACTCTGTTAGCTGGGGGGAGGTAGGACAATGTGTAGACTGCATAACTAACTTGTTATCTGCCCAGAGTGTGCTTTAAGTTCTATGGGGCAGTATATAAGCAAGACGCATTGCTTTCAGAACAGACTAGAGAGAATCATGTTCTGTCTGCCTGATAGACCTTGAGGAGGTTCTCGGGGCAGGGGGGTGGAGAAGAGGTGTAGTCTTAATTCAGCACCACAAAAATAGTAGTAGCACAAGGACAAACAGAATCTTAAGCATTCAAAGCTCTGGACCTGGATAGTTAAATCTGCCAGAGTTGGTTTCACTCACATTCTTTTTTTAAAAAAAGCTCTTCCAAGTTCTTTTCATCCAAAATTTGAAGATGTTTGCTGAATTCCTATTTAAAAATAAAGTTAAGGTGAATTGCTCACCCCACCCTAGTCAAAAGTGGCCATCCAAGTCCAGGATGTGCAGTGTCAGGTGCGAAGTTTCCTTCTTGCTCAGTGAGAAACATGGACGAAGTCATCTCAAATATAAACGCTAACTGAAATCTCTTCTAAACTGTAAATGCCAGTGGCATGCTGGGAGGGTGGATTCTGCAGGTGGGGGGGTGCTGTGGTTCAAAACAAGAGCTTTCACAAGTTTTGCAAGGGGCTGAATTTGGGATCATCCACATGCTCTTCTGTCACTGAGTAGGATGCTCACCATTGAATCAGACGTGGTCTGTCAAATTAATCTACCTGGCTTCTTGTAAAGATGGAAACCAACTGGTGTGTACTTTGAGCATTTGTTGATGGCTTTGGGGGTCTGAGCTAATTAAAGAAGGAAGGAGAAAATTATGGGGGACATTCAGAAGCTTTCATTGGCCCCAGATTTTCCTAGGAATAGCCATCAGGGCAAGTGGGCACAAGGGAACTGAGCTGCTTCATATAGCACTTGATGATAGCCAATGAGAAGGAATAGCTGCCAGAATTACAGCTAAGGAGATACTTCAAAACGTGAACATATCATGCTCTGAATACAGGAAAAGATAGAGGCAGTAGCACACAGCTTTCCAGAAGGGATGGGGATGTTACTATCCTATTAAAACATACTTGTCCTGGGGAAACAGGTGCCGTTTTATATCCAGCATAAGCCATATCATGTATTTTAATTAAAACCCATAGTGTCTATCCTTCGGTTCCTTGTATTAGAGATCCCAGCATCCTGCTTGTTTGTGAGAGTGGGACACATTTTTCACTAGCAAGAGGAAGCACTGAAATTATACACATTTGAGCCCTATTTAGTCTTTCAGGAAAGGGTTGATTTGGAAGCAGGGCAAGCGTTGTAGCTCTCCCTCTTACCTGTTGCTGCTTCTCTCAGGAGAAAGATCGCCTGGCACTTGTGCTACATGGGGAGCCTGAAAATTCCGGGTTCTCAATCATGCGTGGATTCTCCATATGCACCAAGCTTTCTCCCATTCAAAGTCCTTCCAGGGGATACAGATGGAGGCAGGGGGCATGGCTAGGATGCCATCATTCTTTGTGTAGAACTTGGAATATTGTTATGTTGTGGTGTGTTGCATTATGTTACTTTTTGCAGCTTCCAGAAGGATTCTGTGATGTGTACTGTAGTTCTAAAACCGCGAGTTCTGCAAACGTGCCTGCATATTTTAAAGCCTGTTTTGCTGATAACGTTCTCTCTCTGTCTCCCCCGTCCCTTATCTCCTTTTGCAAATGCCTGACCATCCTGATTTCGCCATTAATAAACTCATTTATAGATTGTTTTTAAAAGCATGCTCCATGGGAAATTAAAGTATGTGGCACTGTTCTACCTCCCATTGAATCCAGTGAAATTTGCCTTTGAGCAAACTTACAGAGAATTCAGAGGAGTAGATTACAATTCTCATTTAAATAGTGGCGGCCACATTTTGGGAGTTCAGGCTCCAACTTTCATTGCTGCTGATGAATTCAGATTTTGAAAGGATGGTGTCACAGCTATTGAAGCACCTTTAGGCATGGATTTGTTACAGTGGATGTTCAAAGTACTGCCATCTTCAAGGGAATTAATTCATTCATGACTATTTCTTCTCCCCCCAAAAAACTTTCAAGCTTTATTTGGTGCGCTGTGAATGCACTCTCTCTCTCAGTAAATACACAATCCTAATAATGCAGCATTTGGAACAAATTTCCATTATAATTCTATTCCTTTTCCAAGAACAGAAGTAGAGCAGTTAAAATAATGCAGTCATTTCAAGTATATGGGTTGTGTTAACCAAACACAACATTATGAGCTGGTATAGCCAGAAATAGAGGACCCAAGATATAAGATCAGAGTACAGGAGGAAGAAATAGTTCGGAACTAACCTCTCCTAATCTGTTTCCAATGAAATAATTTTTAACTTGTATGTGTCTTCACTGTGATGAATGATACTGTGACATTAAGTCATGAGCTACAATGCATAGAACAGGCAATTCAGACATTACTCCCTCTTAGATTTATTTATTTATTGCATTTATATGCCGCCCATCTGGACATGGTCTACTCTGGGCAGCTCACAACATATACAATTAAAGAATTTAAAATATTCACAGTTTACATAGTTAAAACCAAGTCAATATAAGATATAACAATTAATTTAAAGTAAACAGTTCCAAGATGGCATAGATCAGAAGGAAAACAAAAATACGAGTCACTTAGTTCAGTGGTTCTTAGATTTATTTATTTATTGCATTTATATGCCGCCCATCTGGACATGGTCTACTCTGGGCAGCTCACAACATATACAATTAAAGAATTTAAAATATTCACAGCTTACATAGTTAAAACCAAG